GAATTAATTTTCAAGGAAGAAGATACAAATCGTTTATAAGCCATCCGGAAGTAGAATTTAAACAAAGAATATACCAATCCAATAATATAGAATCAATTACTTTCAATACCGGATTACTAATTATATATATATATATTTTTTTCATTGCGAAAAAATCTTACGTCCTCCTCCCATTTTTTAATTCTATTTTCTTTGCATTAATAATATTACAAAAATAGATGCAAAAATCCACCTTCATTAATTCATTTAATTACGATAATATCATAAATATATTTTTCAAAATTTAAAATTATATTTTAATATTAAAAAATATGAGGGACGGTCAAAATTCCTTATTCTTCTTCAACTAAAAAATACACGTCATCGATTTTGAGGTAGACCTTATCGTTTTACAACGTTTTAAGTTCGTCGCATATTTATAACCATATACAACGCTAGGATTATCGGTTTTAAGGTAGATCTTATCGTTTTGCAGGGTTTTGTACACAAACCTACCCCTCTTTATTAAAGTGGTCTTCGCATATTTTGACCGTGGTTCATATATATAAATTTATAAATTATCAAAATTTATATTAATAAATATTACGGATTACTTAAACCTCATTCAATTTTTAACAGAATTTCTTTCCCCATTATTCTAATCCATTTATCTATCTACAATAATTCGATCTACCCTCAAACAACGAAAACAAACTTAAAACTATAATCATTTCAATCGATTTTACAAATTCCGGGACCTAAATAAAATCTAAAGCCGTTAACGTCCATACCTCATATTATATCGCCTATCGTACTTACAAAAATAAAATCCCAATCTAATTTTCGTCCACTCCTACAACAAAAACAACAATCCTCACGCCTAATATAAATTCTAAATACGCATATAAAATATAAATATCCAACATAAATAAAAAATCAACTAAATCATCAAAATCATACAACAAAATACAATATTCAATCATTACATAATATAAAAAATACTTATTCAATATCCCTATCTTAAATTTCAATCTATTTTAAAGATATATTATTATTATATATATATATTTATTTATTTAAAATATTTTTTATATTCGATATATTTACAAATAATCATAATTGCGAATATCATCAACAAATATATTTTTTGTAATGTCCATATATTATATCGAAACAATATACTAAATTTCTTTCGTAAATTTGCAAACATACCTTAAATTTAGAAAATACACACATATATATATTAAACCAAAATATATATTTATCTATAACATTCGAATCGTATTTTTTTAAAAAATATCATTATATATTTTTCAAAAAACAAATCGAATCGTATTCACAAAATATTAATATAACAAATCTACGGTTTCATTTACAAACACCTAATCAATCTTTAAGAAATTTATAAATGTCTTACACAAACGTTAACACTAATTTTGTAAAGTTTTATTTAAGCTTTAGCATTTATGATTTTTTTAATATACGGGTCTAAGATTGGATCTTAATATTTCTAAGAATATCACACAAGCATAATTTGTTACAAATTTAGCCAAATTTTAACATTTGCAAAAAACCTAGCCAGATTTAACACGTGCAAAAAGTTTAATGAAATTTTTGTCTTAGCATCTCGACTCTTTCAATTATTATCCTGAAGCTAGAGCGGACCAAGCGAAAATACACGAGAAACAGCCCTCTCCCAGGATCTATCTAAAGCGCCCAAACGTAAAGCGAAATGCGAACTCTTTTGGTCGGCGGCACGCCCTCTCGCAAGATCCATATCGAGCGCCCAAGCGTGTAGCGAAATGCAAACTCTTTTGGTCGGCCGCGAGCCCTCTCGCAGGATCCGGTGTGTCGCGTGTCCAAACGTGTCGCGAAATGCGATTTTTGTCGGTTCTGGAGTTCTGGGGCGAACCCTCTTGCAGGATCGTGCGTGTCGAGTGCTCGAACGTGTGCAGGTAAACGCGCGACCCTCTCGCAGGACCGATCCGGCGTGTCGAGTGCCCAAACGTGTACGTAGCGAAATGCGAATTCTCTTGGTCGGCGGCGAAATTATATATATTTTCACTAATACTCCTGACGCTTCGCGTCGACCGCCGCCCACACCTTCTTTTTCCCGAAAGCATTGCGAACGGTTCTTCCGGAAAATCCCTTGAACACTGACATTTCTACACTTACACTTGAACACTGACGCTTCCACACTGACACTGCAAGACAGTATGGAAAACTTCCACGGGAGATGTCCTAATGAAAAAACATTTCCCCACTTTATAAATTCTCTCTTAAAGGCGGAGGGTGGGGCGAACAGCGTCAACCGAAAATGCGACCCTCTGCGGAGATCGTGCGTGTCAAGTGCGCGAAATGCAGGCGAGAGTGCGATGTGTGGTATGTGCGCGCAACCCTCTGCGGAGATCGTGCGTGTTGAGTGCGCGAAATGCAGGCGAGAGTGCGATTTGCCCCATGTGCGCGAAACCCTCTGCGGAGATCGTGCGCGTCGAGTGCGCGAAATGCAGGCAAGAGTGCGATTGGGTCTGTGCGCGCGCAACCCTCTGCGGAGATCGTGCGTGTCGAGCGTGCCAAATGCAGGCGAGAGTGCGATCGGGTCTGTGCGCACGCAACCCTCTGTGGAGATCGTGCGTGTCGAGTGCGCGAAATGCAGGTGAGAGTGCGATTTGACCGGTGTGCGCGCAACCCTCTGCGGAGATCGTGCGTGTTGAGTGCGCGAAATGCAGGCGAGAGTGCGATTCGTCCGGTGTGCACGCAACCCTCTGCGGAGATCGTGCGTCGAGTGCGCGAAATGCAGGCACTGGCGACTTTCTAGTGCTACTTTAGTACGCGGAGTATCTGGGGAGCTGGAAGATGAGAACTGGCGACTTTGTAGTACGCGGAGCAATCTGTGGAGCTAGAAGCTGAGAACTGGCGACTTTGTAGTACAACTTTAGTACGCGGAGTATCTGGAGAGCTGGAAGATGAGAACTGGCGAAGTTGTAGTACAACTTTAGTACGCTGAGTATCTGGGGAGCTGGAAGATGAGAACTGGCGACTTTGTAGTACAACTTTAGTACGCGGAGCAATCTGTGGAGCTGGAAGCTGAGAACTGGCGACTTTGTAGTACAACTTTAGTACGCGGATGAGTCATCTCCCGCGGCTGAGTTATCTCTCGCGGCTGCTCTGGCGCCCCTGCAGCTGAGTCATGTCTCCCGACCGCCCGGCTCTCTTGAGAGGTTGACACACACACACAGAGACCCACGCACTGCCTCAACTTACTCGGACACACACACACAGACAGAGACTCATACACACACAGACATAGATACACACACAGAGACCCACACACTGCCTCAACTCACTCGACTTAACACTTCACACTGAACACTTAACAGATAACTCACACTCTGACTTCCTACGTGATGAAAAATGCTTTCGGGCCACTCGTCGTCTAGTTTTTTTTTTTCGGTCGTCTGGGGAAAGACTGCTGGAGTGGACAGGGGAGGTCGGGAGTGGTGTCCAAAGAGATGGCTTGTTTGCCGCAGCGTCTATGGCCATGTTGCGGCTGAGTTACGCACAAGTTCGCTCGTTTGGTGGCTATGTTAAAGCCAATTCAGGCTCCAAGTTCGACCGCTTTGTGGCCTTGCCCCCGCTTGGTTAGTCCACATTACATCATGTCAAGGCTAGCTTGATCGTTTGGTGACCCTGTGTTGAGGCCACGTTGGGTTTTTTGCAATAATGCTGGTTATGCGTTGCTGGTCAGGAGGGTTTTTTCAGCATCGTGTTTTGGCTTGTTTGGGTTCTTGCAGAAATAGTCCAAAAATGTACCTCCAAAACGCTCTCCCCCCATGGCCCTCGAGGCGTAAGACGTTTTTCCCCGAAACAAAAAAAAGGCGCCCCCCCCCTACCAGAGCTATGAACTGGTTACGATGTGATGATTGACTGACGATGATTCCAGCTTGACCTGCCCCTAACACGCCCTGCACCGCAAGCGGTGTGGGCGGATTTCTTTGGTTCATTATGTATATGTATATATATATATATATGAGATTATATGAGAACATGTGTTTTTATGCGGGCATGATGTCAGAAGGATCCTTTGATGGTGGATCCTTTGAAGTGGCATCTTTCGAAGGACTTTTTGATCCATTGCCTCAGCAGCTCACCGACATGTCAAGTGTGCCAATGGAAACAAATCTTGAGGCCGAAACGACTGTCAAGTTGCAAACTCTTGAAGGTGAGCCTCAAGACCTGTATGCAGTTGACTGATGGGTTCTTCAAAAGATCAAAACTATGAGGAGATCACTGACTTCTCCATCAAGTCACACGCCTTTTCATGTCCAAAAGGAGGACAAAAAAGGTCTCCTCTACAAGATCTTGTAGCACACCGCCACCTGAGGTACACATTCAGGGCACCCCCATCAAACCATCTCAAACCTAGACTCTGAACGGGCGGTGCTGAGCAAAAGACTTTTTGGCGGTTTTGCCCAGTTCAGGTGCCAGCAACTGGCAGGGGGCAAACTGTGAGCATTGGCTGACCACCTGAATTTCTGTATGCCTCTGTTGTCCCGATGGCCGTGTCAAGACTCAGCGTATCAGTGGCCTGGAGATTTTTGTGTGATGCCCATTTTGAGAGATTCGATCAAAAGTTGTCCACATGATCGACACCGAGAGCACTGGCGCTCAGGTCCACACGCAAAGAGGGGGACAATAGAAGAAGCCATCCTGTCCCGACGAAAGAACGCAAGCTTTCCTAGCCTCCACAGGCGCACCTCATGAGCGTACATGGCTTCCCATTTCCCTCCTCCCCATCCTGGCATGGGCCACTTGTCACTTGCTCCACTCATCAAAGACCTTTTCCATTATGATTTTCCTTGCATGAATCAGTTTTCGCGCTTCAAGTGTTGCGACCTCGCACATCTGACCCTATGAGCTGCAACAAGCTTGCAGCTTGACCGTGAAAACACACATCACCTTCTCAAAAAGTGAAGGTCAGGCGGCGTCACCATGATTCTTGCCGATTTGTCTCGCCCAGCCTTTTGTTTTTTGCGAAGCAAGAAGTCCCAAGAGGTTCTCGCTCACATCTCAGGGCCCTGCGATTTGGTACATCGATCCGGAGAGCCTTGTGTGCCAGCCATGGTGGACCTGAGATAAGACATCAGATTGTCTCAAATTCCTGGGCTTAACAAACCAAAAGCCCAAAAAAATTGTCTTTGACATGATGATTCATGGCCCCCTTGCCTATTTCATCCTGTTTCTCTTGTATCTAGTTTGGAGTGCCGAGAGGCTGTAGACACAGCCATCTTCGCCCAAGCCGGCAGTGACCTTTGCTCCAAGCGCTTGGAATAACATGGCGGTTGCGAAGGCTCATCAAAGCTGGTGCCGGACCCACTTGAATCCGCCGGCACAGAAGTCTGGACCTGCGAGGCTGGGGGTCCAAAACACGGACCGGCGACTTGCGAGTGTATGGTTGTGGCCTATGAAATCTGCATCTGGTGCAATGGGATCAATGCAAATGACCTCTGCAAGGTTGGATGTGCGAACAGAAAAACACATATGGAGAAAAGAACCAAAGCTTCGGAGCCTGTGGTGCATTGCACGGAGGTCCATAGAAACAGCCATCGTTACTTTGAACGATGGCACGGTACTTGGCCTACAGATTTCGAGAGATTTCGCTACGATGGCAGCGACTTCGAAACAGGTCAACCCAGATTGAGTGACAGCACCTCATCTTCACCAAAGTCTCGACCCACAAGGGAACATCTCTGCTGGAAGACATCAATTTGAAGCACCTGAATGTTCCAGCTGCGAATGTCACAGTAATTCTAGCATCATCAATGGAAGGAAAAAACAAAAAACACCATCAAACAAAACACGCGCATATGAAAATGGCCTGTCCAGCAGAATGTGGAGGGCATAAAATGGTGTTCACAAGACTCATTGCTCCAGTCCACCACCTTGGGAGCAAGGCAGCGACTGACTCGCAAAACTGTTTCCTCACTGAGCTATCTGAGCTCCAACTTCCCCCTTCTCTTGCCGTAGTCGGGCCCTGAGCAGAGCTATACATCACACACACTACTGGCACTTCCCCATAATCAACTCCTCTGCATCTGAGATGGACACCTATAAAGCTGATGGCTCCGGTGGAGAGGTCTATTCTCAGAACATGACTGGCCTCAAGATTCTGGCATGTTTCTTGCCTCTCAGCGCACTGCCACCAGCTTAAGCATGGCACAGAATGCGGAGGGCAATAAACTGCCTTGGACTACAAGAATTCTATGCACGAGGTTTTCTCCAATCGAACAGAAGGGACTCTCACACGAACGATGGAAAACAGAGTGAGAGTGCAGAAAATGTGTGACAAGGCACCCCGTCGGTTGCAACAATGGCTGCTCGGTACTTGTCGGGCCCCCAGCCCAAGTCTGGGCCTGGTGCAGCAGAAAAGTATGACCAAAAACTGCAACGTTCATGAATTCTTTCGGACAGTGTATTCTGAGAGTAGTACCAGTAGTATATATATATATATAATATCCTTATATATATATATTCGGACAGTGTATTCTGGCGCCGAAAGAATTCTTTTTCGGACATGCCACTTTTTGGACATTCTTTCTGGGGCACTGACCAATCAGGTCGACTTCCCCTGTGTTGGTATTGACCCGCAAGATGCGATTGGAACACCTGAATGGCATTAACAATGCTGAGCTATGCTGAGCTGCACCCATGCCGGGGCACAAACATGCAAAGCTCAGCACTTGGCCATGGTTGACAGTACAGGATTCCAGCAGGGCTTAGAACTCCATCCATCCACTTCCCTGGCAAAAGGCAAAGGTGCCTAGTCTAACGTGCCATTTAGAACTTGGACAGGGCGCATGCTTCCCATTTTCGCCTCAGTGCTCAGATAAGAAACCCAGGATCCTACTAGCACTGCTGGCCTTAAACACCAGAAGACTTTGCCAGCGGTACCCCAGCGCTCGTCATCTGCTTCGCCATCTCCCAGTCCAATACTATCACCAAACTCCTGCAGGCGAACGGACGAACGCTGGAGACTTTGGAGACTGAACACTCGTTTCTCTCAATCCTTGGCTAGCTCAAGGGGATCTGGCATCACAAATTCAGGGCCGATAAGCTCTGAAGTGCCGACCTCACCATATGAACAGGGTCCCGTGAAGACGAACTGATCTGTGAATACTGAATACCTTGATGGCCGCTTTCCACACAGGGCCGTGGCAAATGGATCAATGCGCAGAACATGGGAAGCGAACCTGCCACGACGAAATCGAAATCATTCGAAATCAAAGTCCTCTTGATGCCCGCTTGAATGGTTCCTGAGGCTTCTGAAACACCTTGGCGTCTTTTTCTGAAGAGCAGAGGCATCTCTGATCTTCTGCTTGAAACGGATCCCGCATGCAAGCAATCGTGCCAAAAGATTCAGCGACAACCTTGGCCACTGGTACTGTACACTTGGGAAGCGAGTGCCTGTCTTCACCATGAGGTGAAATCCTGTACAAAAGCTCGGACCGGCAAACTCGGACCTGCACAAAGGCTGCTTAGAAGCCTCACATCTTCAGCTTGATCAACTCCCTAGCTTCTTGATCTGGACACCTTCAAGGCATACTGAGAGAAACAGTCTCCACATGTCTAACTCTTGCTAAAGGAATACTCTTCGAACTCGCTGACTGCCTGGCGGCTTAGCGGTACACTGGCTGCGGGTAGCCCATCACTTGAGCAGGTGGCCTATGGCAGGGGCCCCTGGTGAGCTTCAAACGATCCAGGCAATCCAACAAAAGCAATCCAACAAAAAACCTCAAAAGGCAAAACAGCAAAAAAACATTTCAAACATGTTTTGTTGCTCTTCAGCTCTGAGTTAATGGCGCCATGATCACCTGCTCAGGTGTATACCCAGCCTGGGGCTTGAGACGGGACATTGCACAAACTGCAGGCTCCACCAAAACAATAGAGGATAATAGAGGTAATATGATTCTCAGCCTGGGACAGGATACATCACTGGGCCTTGTGCCATCACCATCGGACCCTGGAAGTCAGCAAGGCGATGAAGTCGGGCACTGCAAACTCCAAACGAGAGCCAATTTAGCAACGCCCAATCTCCTTTGACAAAAATATTATTCAAGAATCTCCTACTAGCCGCATTGCTGAAGGTCAGTCTGAGGATAAGGGTGAAATGCCAAAAAAACATAGGCACCTGCAATGTGTGCTTGCTGAAGAGTACAGGACAAACGAAACGACATCAAACGAGCAAATGTGCAATGGCTGTGCAAGCCCCGAGCCCCGCTCCATTCACATATATTCACATGCCGTGGCCGAACCCAGTGAGCACATTTAATCCACTGCTACTAGTAGCGTACTTGCTCCTAGTAGTGATGCCCTTTGTTCCTAGTACAGTAGCTTATTGTTCCCAGTAATTCCCTTATAAACCCTACTCAACCAGGCAGTACAATAGAGGAGTAAACTGGTTGTGTAACTAGTTTCATTGTTCCTGACCCTCTTGTCAGCAGTCCTGTTTTCGAGGCTCACAGCAGCATGGGCAGCAACAGCTGATGCCTTGTCCATTGCACGAAGATTGCTTGAGATCTCATGAGGCTTCTTAGCTGCTTCTTGCATCCACGACACACGCGACGCATCCCACGAGCTCACAGCAGGTGAGCACCCCGCAACCTTCAAGCGTATCTCGGCAGCAGCTGCCTGTGGGAGCAAAAATAGCAACTTTTGGGAGGCTTGGTGCACCCGTGCCTCCACAGCAGGTCGCGCAGCAAGCCGCACAGCACAAGGTCTCGGCAACGGCTGCTTCAGCCTCTGGTGCTTTGACAATTATGCATGCCTGAGAGTTGCTCAAGTATCCAGGCTTCCAACGTTAGCCATTGTGAATATCTGCTACCAAGGAGAAGCCAAACTACTTACTTGATCTTCAGTGGCTGCCAACACAGGCACCGTGCACGCAACATTGCACAAACATCATGCTGCGTGAAGGTGTGCTGGCTGTAGGCAACGAGTGTGGCTTCTCAAGCTGGCTTTGCCGGGGTGACCAAGGAGGGCAATAGATATTTCCGTCCGCACCAAACACTCCAGACCTTAGGCCAAATCCATCTGGCAATCTGCTAAACCCACGGAAAACTCAGGATTCTGTGCCTCCATTTCCCCACACCACTGCCCAAGTCAGCACCTCCAGCTTGGGAGTTCATTCTTTTATACCAGCAATGGGATCTAAAATCTGTGCAAACATCTCGCAGTGAAGTGTACGGCCTACAATCTGCACATCGATCTGCTGGGGCTCTCGTGGATCAATCCGAAGAACGTGGCTCGCGTTCCTCGGAAGTTTTGGCAGGCCCGAAGAAAGCCTTTGCGTTCAGTTCTGGCAAAAACGCACTGATACAACCTCGAAAGCGAGAACTCCACTAGCGAAAAGAGCCGTCGAGTCTCTAAGCTTCCCACCAGGGGGGGCAAGCGAGAATTCCACTCGGTGTTGCGACAGCCTCAGAGTCCAAAAGCTTGGTACCGTGCCTGCCATGCCACGGCATAGGAGTGCGCACGACCGCTCTCCGGACAAGAGGAAAATACATGCTCATCGGATTGAAAGGACGGCAGCTGTGGATGCTAAATTCTAAATGGTACACGGCAAGTCTATTTTGCTTCTCCCCTTGAGACTTCCACAGCTCGCCACTTTTGGCTTCCATACTCCGTCAGCGATGGACCTGCAAAATCTTGGTGCTCAAGGTCCGCAGCCGCGCTTTCTGCCAGGACAGTGTCGCTGATGTCATATGATAATATCATCAAGCTGTGCGGACGCTGCCGACCTACCAGCTGGGCATACCACATCTTGTTCTCATTGTAGCTCCTTGTCAAACGCACTAAAGGGTCGTCACATCACTGACATCACTGACGCTGATTGATGCTGATTGTATCTGATTGTCGATCATTTTGGATTCTAAGTGGCTGGCTCAGGCTCTTCAGGCTCAAACATGACTCAGTATCACGAAGAGCATAGAGTGAGGCGAACTTGGCAAACGTTAGTAAGGACAGGTAAGGACTAATTAATATCTATGTACAATGTAAGTACATGATTGTACATGTTTGTTCATCACAGTTGCACAAACACATCCAACTTGAATCCATGAAATTTCGTGAATTATCAGATGAGACACCGACACTGCAGAACTTTCTACGGGGCAATACTCTGGTCAATTTGAAAGATAGTTAGAGATAGTTTGAGTTTATTGGTGTTTTGATATGTTGTGTTCGTAGGGGTGAGCTGACTTTGCAGACTCGAAGGAAGCTTGAACAGACATGAGAGTAGGATTCGCTCTTAGCACCAAAGGATGTCGGCAACGGTTGGATTGTCAGCCGAAGTCTGGTCAGTGTCTTGGCCCTTTTTGGCGCTGGCAACCCTTTGGGTTGACTGCCTGCTTCCGACAGAGAGCCTTCGGACAACGACGTTGATCCATTTATATATTACATTATATTACTATATGCGGTAAGTCGTATTTGCATGTGCTCGATTCATTCTAAGAAGGCGCTTACATTGACCATGCACGCCTTTCCGTGCGAGGCCTGCTTGTCAGGCCGTGAAACGCAACGATTCTCTGCATGAAGGGCGCCAATGAAGGTCTTTCCAGCATCGAAAAGACCGGTTAACAAGCCAACATCATCCAACAACTTATCATTTTTCTCAATGGACAGTTGTACGCAAACCATCACAACTTGTTTGTCCATCTGCATCTAACCGTGGGAGCCTCTCCTTCTCCGCGCCCAAAAACGGCGTAACATCACGGCCGCCAACAAATGCCCCGCGTGCGAACTGGACTTAGGTTCCTTGAAGGGCTCACTTCTCGCTGTGCAGACTTTGTGCACGGACTATGACAATCTCTGGGTGACCTCGGAGATCCGCTGCTCCTGAGGCCGAATCTCGGTGTGCAGATGTCAGCTGACATGAACCCGGTGATCCCTAGTATGTGTGGCTGGTAAAGTAACACCGAAAGGAGAACCGAAAGAAGTGAAAGAGTGTTCACATTTCTTCCCAGTCAGCATCTGAAAGCCTACTCCCAGCCAAAAGGCTTCCGCAGTTCTCGAGGTGAGAGTTTTGGGCTTCCAAGTCGACGGTCCTCACCTCTGCAAACAGCCGAAATCTTGGCCGAGATCTGCGTAGTACAGTACAGTCTCTATAACCTATACGTACACATTGCTTGGGTCTTGCTTATTAGCTGTAACAGTGAGGACAATCTAGAGCACCAAAGCTGCACGGTGAAAAACACCCAAAACCCACTTCCACCTAACCAAGGAAAATGTGTTTATGACTGTTAAAGCTAATAGGACTGACCCAATACATTGCATTTCTTTGCAGTATTCAGCTAGTCTTCACCGAACTGTAGTTACAAGGAATCGGCATGTTCGTACCCCAATGCCATGAGGTATCTTATGATCTGGATCATACGACCCGGCTCCACAAGAGTGCCCCTTCCAAGAAAGCAGTGTCCAGCCTCCACTCTTTGGCAACGGACTACCCGCTGCTGGGATTGAGGCTTTGGAAGTGACCGCCTAGCGCAGCGATTCCCAGCGCAGCAGCAGCAGAATCGAACAATTTCTGGAACATGGCTGAAATGAATGACATTAGCACGCATTGCTATTGGCCTAATCCTATGGAGGAGTGTTGACTCGTGAACCCTCCCGTCCTCGGGTTGGAAGATGGCACTCCTGCGCACCGCGAAAATGGTGGGATGGTTGTGGAGCTCCAAAAACACAGACCCACCTGCAAGCGCGAGGTGACAGCGGCATTGCCTTCACCCTTGGGCCAAGACCTTATCCAGTATCCAGGGATATCTAATCGACGTCTTCAATCTTCTCAAGTGAGCCCAAACAACAAGGAACGTGCCGACTGAGGTCCAAGCTTTGACAGGGAGACAGGCTGCCTTTTGGGTTCGTTCGCATCACGTCAAGAACAGCGGAGCCTTTTGCGTCAGAGCCTTTTGCGTCAGAGCCTTTTGCGTTTTCATAGGTCGAATTGAGTTCGTTGCTGGAAAGGCCGAATGTATCCAAATTTCCCCAGGCCTCAGTGTCTCTGTAGTCCGCATGAATGCACAACATGTGGCGCAGTGTATCAGGAATCTAGATCAAAGGAAACAGGCATGGTATAATCCTGATTTCTTTTATGTTTAAGCACAAAACAAATCAAGATACTGAAACTAGGTGAACTGCAGTTTTCTGTCTGCGACAGAAAATCTTTGGGTCTTCAGAGAAGGTGCTTCCTTGGCAGTCCAATCCATCAAAGAAAACGCTAGGAACACTTCAGAGAAGCTACAGCGTCTGGGATCCAAACCATTTAACGCTGCCCAACGTCCGGGGCAATGGTCGGGGGAATAGGCTGCCCAGCGGCCAGGGCCATTGCGAGCCAGTCCTTAAAGGTCTCAGCTGCAGAATCGCCATGGATCTTACTGCAGCACAACATACGTATACGAGAGATCCATGGCGATTCGTCAGAGGGATCTTTCCACTTCCGTGGAAGGAATTTTGCTTTCGTGTGAGGGACAAGAAGTGTCTCATGGTCACTCATGGTCCCATGACATAGCAGGAACAGAATGTGCCATGTCAAAGTCAGCGGGTCTTGGTCCTGACCCCGAGACCTTGGACCAAACAGCGTGAACCGATCCCCAACATCCGAAGCATCCCAAAGCATCCCGAAGCACAGCTCAATGAAGCTCAGCAACCTGTGTAAGCAGAATGAAGTTCTGGCCCTATGATCCAATGTCCAGTCCTGAGCACACTCACAAGATCGTCAGAAGGGAATCATATCCCAAAACATCCCCAAACCTCAGTGATGACCTCATTGATACTCATTGATCAGGTCGAGATAGACAGCTTACGAGCTTACTGAGCCCACAGACTCCGGCCAAAAGAAAAGATACTTGGGGAAGTCCTCCTGCCACCGCTGACCGCAACGAACCGCAACCGCTGCTGCAACCGCTGCTGCCGCCAAAAACGCCCTCACCCACAGGGCACCTCTTCGTCACCGTGCTCTCGTCGCCTTGGGGCACAAGAAACATTGCATGTCATCGGAAAGCAACAGCCTGAGACTTGATGTTCTGGCTGGTCAGAACGCATGCGAGATTTCAGTGTCTACCGTTCTTGAATGTTCTTGAGGTTCTTCGAGGTTCATTTAGGCAACATTTTGGGGTAAGGGATCAAAATAAAAATAGAAATAGAATCAAAAAATATTCAACGGGGATCAATAAAAAAATAAAAAGGGAATCAAAAAAATATATTCTAGCCCACTGAGGATGGTTGGGGTAGTAGTAGTAGTAGTAGTAGTAGTAGTAGTAGTAGTAGCAGTAGCAGTAGCAGTAGCAGCAGCAGCAGCAGCAGCACCAGCGTAGCAGAGCAGTAGCAGCAGCAGCAGCAGGAGGAGGAGGAGGAGGAGGAGGAGTAGTAGTAGTAGTGGTAGTGGTAGCAGTAGTCACGGCGTTCACACGAAGTTAGGCCCTACATGGCGTTGTCAGAGCGCTCAGAGCAGAGAAGTGTTTGGAATGGGTGTAGCAGCATCGGAAGGTGCCTGGATGGGAATCGCCTCAGGAAAAAGATGTGGTGGACCAGTCTATTTCTAATGGGTGCATTGCGGTCGCAGCCGTACAGGGTCTTTTTCACCAAGCTGGTGAACCATTTTTCGAGTAGGGCTACTCAATGACTGGACGGCTACCTTATCGTTGGGTACCTACTTTCTTCCCAGGGAGCTGCCTCTAGTAGAAAGCAATCAAGCCTCTATTTGCGCAAGCAGGGGACCAGGAGATCGACAGACGAGCGCCGTAGGAGAGCAAAAGACCAGCAGACCAGGAGACAGAAGGACTAGGATACCAGGGGACCAGCGGACCACAGGACCAGAGGACCAGGAGACCGGAGGACTAGGGGACCAGTGGACTAAAGGACCAAGGGACCAGGGGACCAAAGGACCAGTGGACCAGAGGACCAAGGGACCAAGGGACCACATTACCAGAGGACCCGCAGACCAAAAGGCCAGGAGAGCAGCAGAAGAGGCCTATCAAGGAATATTTTTTTTTTGATGCTCTTTTTATTTTTTTTGATACCTATGCCAACATTTTGGCCTTGGTACGAGGTTCTTTTCTACCAGGGCCTGAGAGCCTGAGAACCGTTTTAAAGCATCAACTTGAACACAAGGACCGTGTTTAATGCCATAATACGCTTGGTGCGCCACATTTTCTTCCAGGCTGGCCTTGATGCCCACCTTGGGGACCGAAGCGAAGCTCTGGGCGGTGTTTGATCAACGGACCCACGACGTGGGGCTGATGCCCTGGAGATCAACCCTTTAGATGATTAAGGGCCTCCCACTGTTGAAACATGCAAGTTGATATCCAAGCTTTTCATGAAACGAAGTCTACGTGTTCCAAGTACTACGGGTCAACAGGTCATGAATGATCTTGTTCGGGTAATGTCAAAGCTTGAGAGATCAAACCTGAAGGCCCGCTGAGTCCCAAACATGGACTCTGGAAGCAACTCATAGGAGCCATTCAGCGACTGTACCCTGAAGCAATGAGGGGGACGATGAGAAAAACATCGAATGAGATGAACAGTTTCTGCCAACTTTTAACCAAAAAATGCCAGTCAAAGAAGGGTGGCATTGCAACTGATCTTCGGCTTCAGAGGTCAACGACTTTTGGAGGTGACACACCTTTCACCCTTTGACAAACGAAAGCACATGGCGCCTGCTTCCACAGCCACCAATGCATAGGAAGAAGGGTGGGGCATCGAACCCCAGCGCCATGAGTCTAAGCCATTTTGTTGCCACGAGCTGCTCCGAGAGTAAAGCACTTGGAGGCGCCTTGAACGGGAAAAGAAGCACTGGAAAGCGCTGAAAGAGACAGTGGAACCGATGTGAGAACAATAGTTTACCGAGAAACTACTAATACCATTTACTTCATGTTATTTCTATTGACGTCCTGGATCACTTGTTTTCTCACTCTGAAGCCAACACTCTTGAATGAGAAACATGGCATGCTATGGCTGTGGCTCTCGAAGGGGCGAGCCGGTGATGAAAGCCAGGGACCTGGTCGAAACAAAAACAAATCGCCCGACCACCACCCCGGCCGCCGAAGCCGACGCCAAGGAAGGAAGGACAGTGCATGGTACCCTGCATGGTGCACAGCCTGGCTGTCGGCCGCCTCCCAGTCCATCGCATCCTCACCACTGCAAACACCACATTCGCCGCCGCAGTGTGCTACCACTGAGCTGAACGAAGACTGCGCGCCGACCGGTGATCCAAACCGGTTGGTGCCTGTGGAAGCAACGGTGTCCAACTTGGACCGCTTCTCGCCAGGACCTGACGACACGAAACCCTAAACCCTAACCCCTTGGGCCCTTTGGGCCCCTTCGCCCAAAACGATTCTATTTATTGTTTCTAATAGCTTCTTGTTACTACTAGTAAGGCACTTGTTACTACTAGTAAGTAAGGCACTTGTTCCTAGTAGCTTATTGTTCCTTACGAGGATCCGAGTCGCGCCTGACCGAAACGCCCTAGCACATCTGGTCCGGCAGACCTGAGAGACGTGACCGCCGGCAGTGAAGCGAATTGACGACATATGGGTCTCATGGACCTACGTTTTCGGTCAATTGGAGTGACGCTTAATTACAGGTGATGCGTCACCTGCGCATACGTTTCGGGCAAAGCTCTCTGCTTCTCTCAGTCTCCGGGCGCAACGGCATGGTTTGCTGCGAGTGGAGAGATTGTGCTGACCTCATGTTCCAAGCAAATTCCAGTGAGCTGAGCGAAGAGAATTCTTACTGGACTTATTGAACATACGTACGTGACATACTCCAAGCTGATCGATTGCACGGGAAAATGCTAAGCAACTAGCCACCCAATATCCGGAGCGAGGTTCGAAAAAGAGGAAGAGTCCAGGCCTAAAAGTATCTTTGAATCTCTTTGGATTTAGGCAATGTTTTTTATCGGATTTTTCCGTGTTCAATTTTTCATTTTTTTTTGTTTCTCGGCTCTATGTTTTCTTTTCTTTCTGAGTGGGGAACTGCGAAGGCAAGCTCGGCCTTGTCAGCGAACTGTCCAATTCCATGCAACGTTCGCTGTCCCGATCCAGCCTGGGACCGCAAGGTTGCAGCGGAGCTCGCCGATAGACCTGGTGTGCCAAGTGTTCGTAACACACAGGGGCAGTTCGAACACATTTCTTGCTTCCTCAGATTTGTGTTTGAGCCGAATGGGAAGGATGAAGTCTTGGACAACCTCAAACGTGTATGTGGCACTGGCCGCTTCCCATATCTTTGCCGGAGCCTCCAGTCTTTGGCTCTCATTGCAGCAACGTACACAAAGCAACGTACGGCTTTGCACGTTAGTCACCTCTAAGGCTTTGCGACTCTACAAGGACTGGGAATGAGACAACCTGAAGTCGCCGGCCAATGGATGCTCAGCAACCGCCTGGCACAAGCGAGGTGTGCAGAAATCCGATGGGTATTGCAGTCGCCAGACCTCGCCTGCACTCCAGCTTCTGAGCCTCTCATTTCAAAGTCCAACACATCTGTTCCAAAAGAAACACTGTCATGACAAACATTTAGAATGTTAGATCCTTGCAGCTTGCTGGACCACTACCTTGACCACCATACAAGTCCAAAAACATCCAAAAACACAGTTCCCTGTCTTCGGCCTTGATAAAAGGACACGGTCCTTGCAGGACATCGATCTTCCAAACTCACCACCTGGGCGAGTGAGCGACCAAAACCGCGCGTCAGGTCGCCGTGACCGGGTCGGGTTAGGTCGATCGGGACCGAGGTCGACCGCGACCTCCAAGGCGTCACAGTCTTCGAAGTGCGCGTCCTGTCGGAACGAGTCGTGGCGTGCGAATGCGTGCGATGATGGATGGATTTTCCCACGTGGGTCGTGGCGTCACAGTCTTCGGGTCGTTTTCGGGTGTTTCTCGGTCGGAGATCCACGGGAGATTTGAGGCAGTCGACATGTTCAAGAACTCTTCCTACCAAATGCTTCAGAGAAACAAATTGGACGGTTTGGGTAGCTGTGCAGAATGGTGCAGTAATTACAAGTATTATATACTGACCAAGCTTTGCAGAGTCATAAAGCAGGAGAAAGCAAAGGTGTCAATCGTACTCAAATATGTATAAATGCATACAAAGGCCATTATTACTTTAAGCCTTGGGGTGCCTCGTCCATCTCATGCTTGCTCTGGAAGACATTGATCTCCGGCTCCAAGGTCTCAAGAGGAACGAAGGCGGATCATGACACATAAAACACATCATCTCCGATCCCACTTCTTTTGGACTGATGCTGGTCGAAGTGACGAAGATTGACATGTGAAAAGTGCGAGACTGAGAGGCTGACACGTACTTGCCAAGGTCCCAGATCTTTGTGCAAAACCTGAGCACGCACCAATGCAAAACAAAACCTTCTTTTTAGCAGATCTGACATTGAGAGCCCAGCATCGGCGGACCAAAGGACCTGTGCCAAAAGCAAGCATGTGCCAAAGAACCACTCTACTCAGGAGTTTGAGGGTATGCCTTCATCCTTGAGGTCCTCTGAGGCCTTTGAGTCAAACAACTCTGAAGAGGTCTTGTCCAAACGACTGCAGTCGACTGCAGGTCTTGAGTCTCGAATCTCGACACCCACCCCAGGCGTGCCTGCCTCATCCCAGCCAACTGGACTCCGAGCCAGTACACTCAGCCCCTTGGCTCCAACTTCTGGTGCCACCTGCGAAAACCCAAAACAAACGGCGAATACATGCGAATACCATATCCATATCTAGCCTATTGACATCCAACATCCACTACCTACCTTTCCACCACGTGATGTCTGGAGATCTCTCAGAACGCGAGATTTTTACAGCTCCTCTTGCGCCGAATCCATGATGACCGACTCCTCTGATTCAAAGCAAGCTCCCCTGCACGGCCCTAAACCCTAAACTGCTGCCTTCCACCGTCGACTCTGGTCATCATCATCATAGAAGAGGAATAGCTGCTTCTCCTCTAGGCAAACAGCGACAACACATCAGGCATCATGTATAATAGAATCAAGATGAATCAAGTAAAATCACAAAAGGGACGCAGCATGAATTAGCCCCCAACCTGTGACTTTTCATCATCCAGAATGCCTGGCAGAACATGATCTTCGGATGATCCCTGTGACCAACTGCGTGCCTCCACGCGGACGCAAGGGAGCCTGGAAAGCACAGCTGATCCACTCAGTTAGACGTTCGTTCGTCGTCTGCTGGAAGACATCCGAAAACATCGGAGAAAGCCATCGGAGAAACCCACGAAGCAGAGGTTTGTTCTTCCAGAGTCTTCCACTCCTTCCTTCGGTTCCTTCAGTTCCTTCGGTTGTTTTCAATGAAACCCCTGCGGTCCTTAATGCAAACCGGACGATCCCCATAGAGCTGATCGGATCGGACGTAGTCGCCGCTGAGGCCTGGCGCGGCGGACGGCAGACCCGTCTGCCGCCTTGCCGTCACTTCGACGGATCAAAGCAGCCAGGCTCCGCCAAAGGCTTCGGAGAGGCCCTCGAAGTGGCGAAAGCTCAGACACAGAACGAAGTCGCTCTCCTGGCCCAGCATTTTTAGAGCGAGGCGCGCTCTTAAGCAGAAAGGCCAAAGCGGATCAAAGCGGCCCCAAGCGTGGCTTACAGAAACACTGATTTGAAGTTGCAAGCCAATTTAAGCAACATCATGTGCACGCAAAAAGTCTCTTCAGTGATGTCCATCTGTGCACAAACCAGATCTCGATTGCCTCTGGCTCTGTACCACAAATCTCCGCAGTCTCCCCGTCAAAGGTATCGTTCTGTGGCGATCCCAGACTGCGCGGAGAAGAACCTGGAGACACCTCGGACAATGGGGTTTGGTTGAAAGCCACATTGACATCAAACCAGGCGAGTCCGAGAGCCTTAAGTAAGTTGGCAAGCTGCTGGTTCTAATCTGCATCATGTTTATACGGATGAAATACTCTCAACGTTCAACATGCAATGTATTCGCACACTACGCTGCTGTAAATCCTTTCAGGCGGCAGTTACATAGCAGTTGCATAAGCAATCGGCTGTCATCTAACGCAGTGGACATCAAGACATACTTCCACCGACAAGCAAAATGCGATGGGCATCCGGACACCAGACACAGAGCGTCCGAAGCTGCGAGTGGCCTGGCCCAGTGAGGTGCAAACTTCACCGGAGAAGGACTGTCGATCGGATGTGGCGGGTCCTAGCTGGACGGGAAGACTGCTAGGCATTTCATCCATTTTCCATGGGTATCGAAGTCCACAAACTTCACCGGAGTTGAACTGGATTTGACTGGATAAGTCCCCAAATGGTACAGGAAGAAGCATCTCAAACATGCTGGTTGCTGATCCTTATCTAAGCCATAGCCAGCCGAACTCCTCTGAGGGACATGCCTTGCGTGCATAGCCTTCGCTGACTTGAAGCCAGGACCATGGAATAAAGACCTCACACCGGTGTGTCTCACACCGACACGTCCTGACTGTTCGCAAGTGAAGAAAATGAACACGGCCAAACCCTGCAAGAGTAGCGGTTGATGAGAGCCTTGGATTAGCTAACTGAGCCCTTTTTTGATCACCAAATTTTGGTCACACCACCCCTGCGCTCTGAGGGTGTGACGCTTGCATCCTCGTTTACATCTTCCTCTGCCTTAGATCTTTCGGAATCTTTCATTGGGATAAATCAATCAAATAGTAAGACCCCCTTCCAATGAAACGTGCCGCATTGCCAGACTTGTCTTTTTTCATTTTCATCATTGTTCTCTTGTGCCAACAGGCAGGCCACGGTACACACGCCACACAGCCATATCAAACAATGTGGGCTAAGCCAAGGACAAGCCTGCGCCTTTCCGTCATGCCATACTGCAAATGAGTCCTCGAAGCAGAACAAACAATAAAGCTGGCCCCAGGGGTGTCAGCAAACTCCAAGACTTAGAAAAGGTCGGAAGTTGCTGGATGATGGACCAAGGTTGCCTCAAACCAAGGTTCCACATTACATTGAAATGAGTGGCTGCTTGCAAATCTGAGGAAGGGACAAGCTTGCTGGTGACCTTGGTCCATTGAATGCTACTGTCCTCCTGAGCCAGCCTCCATCTTCATTTCTCCAAGTCACGAGGAAGTCCATGCGACAGGGCTCCTCTCGCGTGCTTTCTGGCACGGAAGCATCAAGCACCAAATTCGTCAACCGCACAAACAACTACGCATGCAAAAGAATGCACGGCCAAATGCATGTTGAGCCATTTTCAAATCGGAAGGCAGGGCATCTCGTGCAGGCTCTGCATGGCTGCACGGCGGAAACGTTTGTACATGCGCAGAACAAGGCTGACAGGCAATAATGGAAACAGAGACGGACATTTAAACACATAGTGAACATCATAGTAGCAAACTGCTTCTTGTACATCACGATTGGGGTTGCTGAATGCAAGTCTTGCTTGTTGATGTTGAACAAACTGCTTGCAACCCAAGCAAAGTTCTTCTGCAGCTATGTTGGGCCATTGGCTTCTGTACACATGCCACATGGCGCTCAGTGATCGTTTGAAGTCCCGGCACGTGTCTGTGCCGCTAGGTCCGCCTCACGAGTGCGCACGACTGGTCGTCGGTTCGTTTTCTCGTCCGTTGCAGGACTTCGCTGCGACTGACCCGAGTCACTTCATGAGAAAATCGCATTTCTGTGAGACAAGAGCATTACTGACTGCTTTAGTTTGCGCAAACATGATGGCATTATGGCTTCAAGAATCTTCACCCTTGCTGTGGGTAACTCTCATCAACGATTGTGGCTACGCTCTTTTGGCATGCTCTTGCTGTACGAGCCGCATCACTTCCAGCAGCAGGGGCGGTCCAAGGGGTGTGTCATTCTCATCCACCACCGCCCAGGCAGAGGTCAAAGTTTCTCCACAAGTGCCAGGATTGAAGGCAAGATCCATCACAAGCTCGACCTCAACATTTCTATTTCTTCATGTTGTAGCGAAACCTTTGTCTTTGCAACTTGTCCCTCTACAGTTGAATCTCTTTCTTAGGCCTGTACAGTACATCTTACGGTTGATTCCTGAAACAAATCGACAAACCCCTGGTTCCTTGAAATGAAGACATACTGTAAGTTTGGCCACATCTACATATATATATACCTCTAAACAGTTACCACCCCACTGGAGATCCGCAAGTGTTCTTCTATGGTTTCTTGATTTAACATTGATCAAATCATGAATTGATCATCAAACACACACACACACATCAAAGATCGGATTAGTTCATCCCTCCATCCATCCACTCCATGCTGGCATCCCATTCATCACGAAGACGAGAGAGCCAGGGCACCGTCTCGCCCGGCTTCACGGGTCCCAAAGGCATCTCTAAAAAGCCCCATGAAGGGCCTTCCTGGAGCTTCAAAGCACACACCTGGCAGCGACGATGGCACCGGCACTCGGACTGCTGCGGGTGAAGAAGTCGTCAGGAGTCCATTGGATGTCTTTTTGATGTCGAAGGAGTCTTTTTTCGCTTTGAAGTCTTGAGGTCATTTTTGATCAAAGAAGATCATTCAGCTGAAGCGTTAAACACAGATTTGCAAGACATTCCATGGAATAACAAATATAATGGAATCAAGCATGGCCATGCTTCATGATCAGTTGAGAATTCCTTCGCACCTCTGGCCATGCTTCAGCGCCATCGTTGACGACCACGATCTTGACCTTAATCGGATTCATCCCATTCAGAATCCAATGCCTTCCAATAGGTGCCTTCCAACCCGAAACCAAACGTGAAGACACAAGAGACGACAGCAAGTGTCGGACCAGCGCTTTCGTGGTATGTAGTGCGGCGGCGTGGTGGATTTCCAACTTTTCGAGCAGGAAGGCCTTGTCACAAAACGACTGAGCAATGTGGATGTCACCCCAACCCACTTCAATTTCCAGCTGCAACACCACATTGCTGCAAACATAGAGTTGGCCAAATACCAGTACAATTTAGGAAAATAGCTGGTAACACCTATATAATATTTCATAGTTTACAGGGATTTGGAATGTTGCTGCTACGTTGCATTGAACCTACTCCGTTTGGCTCTTTAATGTTGAGTTTGATGTTCAACTGGGGCACTCCACACATGCATATACATGCATATACTACACATACAAATACTATATGATACTGTACACATGACATACTTGTATATACATATATAACTATATAAATACAATATATATATAATATACATATATACATACACATAATACATGGACACGGTATCTTCAACGCCGCCTCGGCTCCCTGCCAGGGTGAGAGCTTCATCAGGTTGTTGCAGGGCTTCATCAGCTTCGTGTCACTCAGGAGATGAGAGACGAACACAACCTGACCCAGTTCGAGTCTAAGACCCCAAAGGGCCAAGATGTAAACCCCCAAAAGCCTGGCGAAAGACGAAAGAGCCTTGCGTTGTTGACCAAAGAGCGTTGCGCACATGCATCTTGTTTTATTGTCGTCCCTCCGTTGGATGACTTCGACAGGATTGTGACTTCCTGGACTTCGTCAGGTTGCTCTCGCCTTGACACGAAAAGGAACGTGAGGTTGCTCGCCCTGTGGTGCGACATCCATCTGCCAATCCTGCCAGTGCATGTTTCTGCGATGGACACATGGAAGACATAATCTCTCTTGTTCAACCAGGAGCCTCGTTCTCAGAAGTGTTCTCAGATCCAACTCCATCCAGCCTTCCAGGAAACAACTCGAGCAACGACCGTGAGCTTGATGTTCTGGATATGATGACCCAATCATAAATGTATAATAGTATGATTCGAATTCGTTTCTTGTGATGCGAGCAATATCAACTTTCAACGCTATAAGTATACAATGGTTAAATATGATATTTGATGCTGCTTGGCTAGCTAAACCCAGGAATGTCAGGTCACTCTACCCTTCGAGCCTCTCCCAGTCGTCAGAAATGTCTGATCCCGACTCCTGACAGCTGTACACTGTGTTCAACCTTTGGAATGATGGCACTGTTCAACCAAATTTGAACATGATATCATGATAAACCAATAATGCTCCTCAACATCAAGAGTCATGAAGTTGTATCAGCGACATAAATATTCTGATTGGACATGTCAACCAATGAAGGTGTTCAATAAAACCCAAGGGGTTGTCTCATGTGTCTATCAAAGTGTCATCCAATCGTCCAACAACAGTCTGAAATAGCAAGTGGCCTAGAACAAGAAACACAGTTCTTCAACGCCAAATCTGAAACGCGGCTCGAAACTTTTGATGACCTCTCGCCCAGTCCCAAACTCGAAAAAACAAGGAGCCTGTGCCTGACTCGGACTTCCCGGCTTGGAGCTTGCGGTGCGCAAAGCGACTTCCAAAGCCGCTTCACTAAAGGCCCTGTGGGCTGCTTCACGAAGTGATGCGTTTGTGCTGGACATCAGCTTGGCCAACGCGGCAGCCGCCACCTGGGACTGCATCGAAGGACACTGTTGAAACAGGTGGAGCCGTTCTTTTTTTGGCCTTTGGTATGCAATGACTGTGGCTTGGTGTAAGGGCTGAATCTTTGTGTCTGATTGCTGATGATGGTCTGGGCGTTTCCATCACAACACATCACAATTCTTACTCCTTCGAATTCTTCATGATTCAGTGACATTTTGCCGTTGTTTCTATCACCCAAGTGCACCATACTTGTACAAGTGTGCACCATACTTGTGTTAGTGTTCAACAAGGCTCTCAAACAAAACCTGGATGCCACCATTCAGGTGCCTTCTGTTCTGTCTTGAGCTGACAGTTTGTGCTTTCTGCAGTGTTTTGCTTGTGTCTGTGATCTCTACACCTTCGATCAACAGCATCGCACAAGTTCATCTTGCATCCAATGATTGGTCGCTCCAGACCAATGCCAACGTGAGTCGCGGACAAAGACGCTTGCGGAACAGGTGCGCGCAATCGAGATGACATGTTTGTTGGTCAACGGAGGAAAACCATGGCAGCAAATAGCTGTGACAAACATAGACCCAACACAAGGATCCTTCACAAACAACCGCTTCGGTATGTTTCCGGAAGTTTGTTCCTAGTAGCTTCTTGCTCCTAGTAGTAAGGCCAGAAGCTACTAGTAGAGTCCTTGCTACTAGTAGCGATGCCCTTTGTTACGAGCATTCGGAGGAATCAACAGAAATGTCGTGTCGGCTTCAGTAGCTACCGCTCTCTCATGCCAGTTGCGACAAGCCAGCCTTGGGATCCAACTCAGCTTCACTGATGACTGCCGGCAGCATCTCCTCCTCCTCTACAAAGCATGGTCCAATGGTTCTGCCAGTGGGATCTGTAACTGGATCTGTAGATGAATCAGGTTGATCATGTTTACCTAGAGGTTGACTTATTCTGTAGGAAAGCCATCCGTGTCCAGGTTTTATGAGCCAAATTTGGTTATCAGTCTGTCACTGCAGGCTTCAACTGTTTGAGAAGCTGGTCTTGGTGCCATATGGTCTATGACTGTTGATCCTAACCAATCTAGAGATTCTGTCATGTCGGGGACCAGCGACCTTCTGCCATCCTTGCTTGCATGACCAGCGATGCGGTTCTTTTTGGAATTTTGGCGCCAAAAGGCCAAGTTTGGCCCCAAATGAGTCTGCTTGAACAAACAGTTTCCTCTGACCCAAACATTTGGACCCTCCATTTCCCTCAATCTACCACCAACTTGGAAACGGTCGACCACCAACTTGGAGACGGATCCATGTGGTGTCCATCTCCATTTGGTGTCCCTCACCCACCCACGGTCGAGACCGGTCGAGACCTAGACAGTCGACCCGAGCCGGGCGAGTGTCCTCGAGCCAGGCCTGTTTCGGTTCGGGCATATCCTGCGGCACAGCCGTTTCGGCGCCACGAGAACTCTCGGTTTCTTCGAATTCTGACGGACTACCGACTGTCCCCTTTTTTCGGACTGGACACGAACATGGAAAAACACCACAAAGTTTGCACCCTACAAGTAGAGTAACAAACAGCTTGAAACATTGCCCACAAGTCGACCAGCAGAGCCATCCCAGACATTCTACAGCCTTCGGCAGCTCGAGTGCAGGGGTCTTTTCCTGCTCCATGTCAGTGAGTGCAAATGGTGCCTTGCGACTCAAGTTGCCGGTTGCTCCGTGGAAAAAGACGGCTGCTCCGTCGAACTTGAGCGGCGGAACATCTTCAAAAAAGACGATACGGTGGGCCCCGCCGGCTATCCTGTGTTCGAGCGGTTGATCCCCATCATTTTTGTGAAACTGAGGTGATCATAACATCGGTCTAACAGAGTCTCACAATCTCAAATCGGTCTGACATGGTCTAATCATCAAGCGTGGGCATTTCTCGTGTTGTGATCGTGCACCAAAAGTCTTAAAAATATGACACGTGTAGGGCTTACAGAAAACAACAACACATGAGATCCACAATCCCCGCTACTGTCCATTGCCTTAAGTAACAATGTGTACCTCTGCAAATGATTGCAAATGCAGGTGAGGCCACTTCGCCACTTCTTCATGCAACTTCACTGCTCTAGGTTCTTCAACACTTTCCCACCTACTGACCTGAACATGTCAATCCATTTCATATGACATCTTTAAGGAATGGGGTTGCAGAATCGTCACTTGAGTTGCTACATGTTGCTACAATCCACTGTTGTGTTTTTTTGCTTTGCGAGGGTCGAAGACTCTATCGCTTGTTTCGCTTGTTTCTTTTGACATTGGCTGAAACCCTGCAGATCATCTTCACCCTCGAACTGCAAACTCTTGACCAAGTTGTATGCAGGTCCGGAGCTTTTGAGAAAATCGGACCCCAAGCTGGGCAGCTTTCCTTCTGGTTTGCGTCCTTCATTTTTTCCAAACCATGTCGGGCATTCAGCTTATGCTTTGGGCTCGTCTGTTCGACGTCGTGGCCGGCTACCCGGCTCGGGGTCACAAAACCATCGAAGCACCTTCAACGTTGAAAGACTTACAAATGAGGCCACATGTGTACTCTTTGTACTATTAGGCCACCATTAGCCACCATTAGCCTCACTTTTTTGTACTATTTTAGGCCACGACCGCATCCGATGGGCCCACATGGAACAAGCCTTTCAGGGACTTGTTGGACTGGAAGAACTGTGCCTGGGGCCTTCTCTCGAAAGCTTTTCCCCTCCCTTGTGAACCCTGTTTTGCCTGTCGCAGGCATGATCTCGGATTGTGGCTTTTGTAACAGCCTTCTCACCCCTTTCAAGTGGACTTGCCCTTTTTCGGCGATATTGCAGGACTCTGCAACAAATTTATTCATATGCACAAGTCCATCTTCATGGTGTTCACCATGACCCTACACCTCTGTATGATCTATGCTTATACAAATATATGATATACTACTGTGATATATGTAAATATTGCATTATAACGGCATTATCATGCATTATATACAATATACACTTACTCTGTCATGACAGTTTATGGTGCTTCAAGCTAAACCATGTTGCAGGGATCTCTACCTCGGACTGCATCTCCATGGCCTGTGAAGAAAGCGCGGTGCGGGATCTGTGAGCACTGCTAACTGGACATGCCGAAACGAAATGCGACTGAAATCAAAAGACATGACCAGGAGCCCCTACAGTAGTAGCTTCTTGCTCCTAGTAGTAAGGCCAGGAGCCCCGTTCGTAGCTTCTTGTTCCTACTCGTTCCAGTGGACTATTTCTTGTTGTAAATTGACGCCATCTAAACAGACTCTCTATTTGGCCCGTCGAACACTTTCGCCTCCAGCACGATCAACCACCGCTTCCGATCAACAAATCCGTTCGGTCTGGCGATCACCGCGAGACCGTTCCTCGCCTTGGCGAGCTCCGGAGGTTCCGAGGAAGCCTGACGCCGGGCAGCCCCGAGACGCGAACGGTGAGGGAATTGATGTCCATCGGACTGTTTCATCAGAGGTGAGGGGATTGAGTCAACAACTCAAACAAATCTGGACATGAGTAATGATGTTTTTCTCACGTGAGAAACATTCATTGCAAATATCTGGACATACACAAAGATCAAACAAAACTGGTCATCTCACCTTCCCATTTTTCTGACATCAGCATTCGAACGTGTTCTTTCGAAGGCAATGCACGATGCACATAGGTGTACAGCGCGCCCACACGTGCCGTCGGCCTTGGTTTCCATGAGGGAAGCTTCGCAGGTTGGTCCAGGGCTCTTCATGGTCTCCTCGATGCCGCGACATGGGCGCAGTGCCGCGCTAACCCTTGTGATGGAGGGTCAACATGAAGTGCCCCATAAGGACATGGGAATTCAACAGGTGAACCCCATCTAAACCCATGCGTTGACGCAGCTTCACGTTCAAGTAGAAAACCTCTTTCAACATCACAGCGTGACCCATTACCAAGTCACACATTCTACAATATCAAGCAAGCAATCCTCGAAGCATGCCTCAGCTTCAGGCTCAGCTGGCGGAGCACTTGGATGGCAAAGTCTCTGTCCCATGTAGTCCCAGCTGTCGTGCACGGGGTGGATAAGACTTCTGCCCTGAAAGCACTGACCACATAAGTCATAGTCGGCACAGTCGGAACACTTGAAGCGATCCTCAGCCTGAAGAGGTCGCTTGCCACATCCATCGCAGGTCACGGAGATTTCAAGATGAGGGCGGCTCTCACACAAAAGGCCAGGCCTGATCTCGAACTCATGGCCTGGATGGACTGAGTCATGATTGGCATAGCAAACTTGACAAAGATCGTAGTCCTTGCATGTCAGGCACTTGTAACGCTTGCCGATCAGCGGGTCTGTCTCACAACCGTCGCAAATGATGTTCGGGTGAATCTCCAAGGGTTGTTCCTCCAGGAGCTGGTCGATGGTGCTTTTGAACGAGCTAGCGATACTTGTTTTCAGCCCATCGTCCATCTTCCTGACAAAAGAATGCACGAATGTCTTTTCTTCTCAAGTCAACACGCCTGTTTGATGATTTTGGGACCGACCTATATAATTGCTACTACTGTCATGCTTGGCCAAAATACATAAAGGACGTGCTTTTCTTGGCAACAAACAAGTGTCTGATAGAGATCGAGAGCCAGCTGCACAAAGGATGGCAATTCTTGTTCATGAAAATTGCCGCTGTTGAGGCAGTGCAGGGGTTGGATCAAGGGGATCCAGTCATCTTTCCAAACATCTTGATGCTTGGCCATAAGTGCAAGACCTGCTTCTCCAAGTTTCTGCCATGTCTTCTTCATGTTGCCTTCACCAACGAGGCCATAGAGCTTCCGCAGCGCTTGCTCGGCTTGAGAGTATGGTGTCGTCACCTTCACTGCAATACCACCCACAAGAGATTCGTTCACAGGGATGGTGACCGGCACGCCCCCGGCATGACACTTCCAAAGGCTCAATGCATAAGACTTTCCAGAGCCTCAGTTGACAATTGCATGTCGAAATATCCAACTCCTTTCCAAAACAATAGTTTTGGTCTGTTGTGGTGATCCAGTTAACGTACACAACTTTCATGTTCCTTGTGCCTCATGAAATTTGATGCAAGTTTGGGTTGAGAAGTTAAGACTTGCACTGCCGCCAATAGAGATTTGCTAGGAGGCGACAAGTTACGACTGTGCAACAAATGTGTCTCATTCTCATTCAATTTCCAAATCTAAGGCCTGGGAACAACGAAAGAAACACGAGCAACTTACGCCCTTTTTCGACAAGGCGACTCTTCTGCTCCCAGCGAAAGCGCTTGGCATCGCACTTTTGCCATCCAAGTGCTGGGAAGCCTCCATCTCGATGCGCCTCAACATCTTTCTAATGGCGATGGCCTCCAATCTAGTAGCTTCTTGTTACTAATAGCGATGTCCTCCAACCTACCGTCTCGATGCGCCTGGACCGATCCGTGGCGAGCCGTGGCGAAGAGACATTTGATATGATCCGTGATGGTTTCAGAGGTTCGATGGCACGTTTACCCCCAAGATGTCCTTTCTTGGTCCATTTTTCAACCACCCGACTTGGGGTTCCTTACGCCATCTACTCTGAAACCACCATAACTATATATATAATAATGATGACAAACATGGGACTGGATGGAACATACAATGTCCCCACATACTGGCAGAATCAAGACATTGGGAACCATGGTCAACCTTGGACTCACAACGAATGAAGCTTTCAGCTCTCTTCTGCGTGACATAACTGTGACACAATTATCATAACAATGTATGTTTTGAATGATCTGTCACATCAGGAACGCAAATATATATATATATACATATGTACATACCATACTTTAAATATATATGTAATATTCATCAGAATCAGAAGATTTCAAATATTGTGACAGTGCTACAAGAATCATACACCAGTTCTTCATGGCAAACACGTCTTCAGTGCTTCGGCGCCTCGCTGAAGATGTAGATCGCCGCCCCAGCGGGCACCTGGCGAGACGTCGGCTCTGCGGGTTGACCACCTCGGATCCCATCATCCCTGGTAGGTTGACCTCCCCAGCTATTTGTTGCATGTTCGGTGGGAAAGACCAGGGTGTCCCGGTTTTGACCCACAAAGATCTAAAGAAAGAACGCCTATGTGGACCACTGTAGACGAAGATTCCATCTCTTCATCTTCCAAGATCAAAAATCAACCGAAAGGAACACATTCTGTTTGGTGGAAGCTGGCTCTGTGTACTATGATGACCTCACCACACTCTGTGTGATGCAGCTAGCACAAGCAGCCATCTTGAGTGACCTCCAGAAGAAGAGCTTTCCAACCCCACCACTTAATCCACAATACCAATGTTCAATATGGTTAAATTGGCAAGGTGTTCAAGATGTGCAGCACTGCAGCAACAAAGTCTAAGTGCAATATCTGTGGTGGATTGTTCCCAAAATGTGTACGTCTCCACATTAGCTCAAGAACTCTAAGTGTTTGTGTCGCGATCAGGCAACCAATATCTCGTGATTGTGTAGCGCGGGACAACACCGTCCGCGAAACATCCGCCATGGGCCACTCAACACCACGGGTCGCCACAACCACTCCCACTTCCAACACCTCCACCCGAAAGGATGTGTTGGTCGGCACGATGTGCTCCGATCGGATCAAAGTGGAGGCCATCAGGTCTTCCGGGATGTTCCTGAGACACACTGAACGCAGAATGCTGGTCATGAAGATCAAATCATGTCACATTTGCACTTGACACAAATCGTAAGCCTATAATGCTTGATTAATTACAATTGAAAGACACCGTGTCCATTCGATTTCGATTCCGATGATTTTCACCTTTCAGCGGGCGTCTTGTACACATACTCTCGGTCGGACCATGCCTGCGGGTGTGTTAACAAGATGGACCAAACAGGTGAAAGATACACTTTCAAAAAGCCGGCCTGAACCCCTTCCGTGAAGGCAACGTATTCCAAGCCCAACTTCGAGTGCACGACCTTGACCTCGTGGATGCAGCGAAACCACTGTTACAACATGATAGATTGAAACCAGTGGCACCGTGGCACCCACCTAATTTAGTCAATTGTGGATTGAGCTATGCAGCCAACTACAAGCTGTCCGAACTCTGCTGCTAGGTTAGAACATGTGCTGTACGGCTGTACTTCAGATTCAATTGCGAAAAGTGGTACAGCTGAACATGTACACATTCATTCCTGGTCCCTTGTGCGCTTGAGTGAAACTTTTGAGACATGCTAGCAGCTAGATGAACATGTGCGCAGATTGGATTTCGTCCTGATGCATACACAGAAACAAGCGGGGTGTAGGCATGGACCACGGCTTGTGCTTGCGTCACAGTCTCACTGGGATTCACTGGGAAGGTAGCAGGCCCCTCCAGACAGTCTGCGAATTGCCATTCCTGGTGACCTGGTTCTCCTGTGTTGAATCTGAATTGGAGCGGCTTTGACTCTAACTAAACGCCTAACCAACTCATCGCTGGCGCAGGCTTGCCGTCATGAGAGACCACGGCTCGCACGATGCCGCATTGCACATTGCTAGATTGAAGACATGACCATTGAACACAAGTGATTAGAATCAACGCAGGAAGGTACCTTGTTGGCAGCAAGCACATGCAAGCACGAAAGGCCTTCATTAGACCACCAAACACACCAATTCCGAGGAAAGAAGAAACCTTTGAAACCTAAAAGCCGCCCAAGTTTGGTGAGTAGGAAGTTGTGAGAGTGTTTGTGGGACAGGACACGGACTTGAGGCAACTTCAAAACTAAGCAGGCACCGGAAACCGCATACAGCCCTGTGCAAATACAACTGCAACCCCGGGCACCGGCAACGGAGCCGTGGACCGGGTGACTGGGGCAAGCTGTGGGGGAGTTGCTGGAGGCTATGCTGGAGGACCAAATGGCGGGGGTGCAGGGGCTAGGAGTCGAATGGTGCAGGGACTCTTAGACACCCTCCTTGACCTGTTGGTTGGGGTGCTAGGGGATGAGCTCGTGTTGGGGGGTCAGTCAAACTATGCAAACCCGTGATTTGTTCAATCTGTGCATACTTCTGGTACGCCTCTGCAGCAAAAACGTTTCGTCCTTCTTGCTGTCATGACTCATCCTCTGAAGGACCGTTGCTTTGTTGGGGACTTGGTTGTGGCTCCTGCCGCAGTCAAGCCAGCTGCAAATCAAAGCATCCTTCTGACTACGACATCGCACCTCTCGCATTCACTTGTACAGTAGGTCTTTAACCCCTGCAGGCGGAGTCATGCAGTAAATCTACAAATGGAATCTACCTTCCTGACGGCGTTTGCTCTGCACGTCTTCTAAGGCATGACACATCATAAACAATGGAGGCCACTGACCCAAAGGACACGAACGTTTTTGACACCAAGCAATGTCAATGACTCCGGCGTAAACCCGCAAGCACTACGGCGCTTGAAGGGTGCCTCGACGACGTGGAGGTACAAAAGACCATTCCTGCATTGGTCCAACGCATCGGCCAAGCTTCCTTTGGTCAGCGTGCATGCGTCTCCCTCATCCTGACAGGTGAAGAAGAGGTCTAGTGGAGGCCGTCTAGGAGACAGACACAGGGTCTAGGGGTCTGGAAGGGCAAAGACATCAGTCGGTCAGGAACAGCGCCCAGAACCTGGGCAGTGAAACCGAAGAATCTGCAGCTAGGAGACATCGATGTACGTAATTCGCTTCAGCACCTGGCATGTGGGGCTTGGAAGCTGGGATGAACCGAACGTGAACCTCAAGACATGTCAACATCTCAAGACATGTTGAACGACGGGGCACCTTGCCACACAGGGCCTGTTCTACGCGCTGACAAATCACATGGAAGGCCAGCTCTGGCATTGCTCGCATTTCGTCGCTCTGCATGCCTCATTGCGAGTCGTGACAATCCACCCTCCAAAGGAACATCGACCGACGCAATCTCATGAGATTGATTTTATTGGAACCCCCAAGATGTGCGAAGCCATGGATTTCAATATGATTGTAAATCACGGAATGATGAACAAAACTTAGTGCAATTGACCACCTGCCAAGTGAATTTTCATTTTTGAATATTTTTGACATGCTTTCCTTCCGATCAATACACACGAACTGGAACATGAAGCTTTGGCAAGCTCGGCTGCTCGCTGCAGCCGGGCCCGGACTTCTCGGCTTTCTGACGTTCATCGAGTCTTTGCAAACAAAGCTGCACACTCCATCTTTGACTTGGTTGTCCACGCAGATCTGAATTTCGACTGCATCCACTGCGTCCATTGCAACGACGCTGCGTCCACTGCTTGGTCTAAAACCGATATGTACAGCGGCGAAAGCGTTTCAGAGCCAGACCCTGGCTGCGAGATGCCAGAGAAAAGCTGAGACCACAGGACAATAATAGGTAGATTCGTGAGTCTGAGACCATCTAAGACAACAGCGGTAAGTGATAGCGACAGTGCGGCAAACGAATCAAAAGAATCTGTGAGGTCTCCCACAGTCTATCTGCATCGTGAAAGACGTCAAAAAGAATGTGAAGACTGGAAGAACACAATCCACCTTTGACCAGAACCATGCTCAGAACTCCAAAAAAGCCCATGGGATTCCCACCCTTCCTCGCAAGTGTCATAGCACATCGCCACTGAGGTAAATCAGGACCATCCTGTGCTTTCTTCACAAGCCCTTTTTGTATTTTGTCTTCAGCCCAAAACATGCCCAGCTCATGCTGAGCATGGCACACCCGAAGATCTACTAATCTGTTCTTCCTGCGAGAAAACACAGCAAAAGTGAACACAACTCCTGAGAATATTTACATTTGTTGGTGCAGTGCTCCTCTAACGCGCTCAAAATGACGCTGGAGATGAACCATTTTCCGGCACCTTGCCATAATAATAAGCCACTGTGATGCAGTTGGGCCAAGCCAAACATGCAAAGGCGGGTGCAACTCAAGTGACTTGCCCGCAGTGCTCAAGGCCCTTGCGCTGGTTGAAGTGCAGAACTTTCCTTTGAGGTGGACCACATCTTTTTGGTTTCTTCAGAAATGCATCAAACAAACAATCCGTTTGGTCCCAAATTCTTCGCATTCAACTTGCAATTTTGAAAAGAACTCCTGGAGACTTTACAGAATATCGGGCACCCTGCCTCTCTTCCTCTCCTCGAGCACCGAAGCCATCTTTGACGAAAATGGGTCGGCTGCCCATCCGGACGCCTTGCCAACGCCAAAGCTCTTCTGTGTGGCAAATTCTGACAACGGAGCCGCTGGAAGAAGGCTCTTCCAGCTTGGTTGGCCACACACTGGAGAGGCGATTTTATCTTTGGAACCCCTCCGGTATGGTTTCCTCTGCAAAAAGGAACATCACACCTCAGCTATGTACGATGCATCCACACACTGAGGCGTTGATGAAGTGGATTCATTATGAGGAACCACCCAGGCCTTGCAAATGCTGATAGTTTCCATTGAGCTGGCCATGGTCCCCTCTGCAGCCAGTCACATGGACAGCCTGGGCTTCCATGAGCCGTCACACTGGCTTGGAAGGAATCCCTCATCTGCCCTTACAAACATGGATTTGAGATGATTTGAGACATATAAACGTATTAGCCGGATTGGATCAACCGCACATCCTGGTACGATACAAAACCATGTGTGTCTTCAGCCCTCACCGAAAAAGAAAAAAACACACACAAAACAAAAAGCTTGGCATGTGCCCCGCCTCTGGAACCCTGATGGAGATGTCATGTCTGAAGCAAACAATGCTGGGATCTTTGGTCGCCTTGGCAGAGGAGGCAACTTCACAAGGATTTCCCCAAGCCTCGATGTGCCCTGGTGACCCTGGTGGAGAAAGATGGAAACTGCCGTTACCTTTCGCTAGAAGAAACGCGTCTTCTCCAAGCCCTCTAAGAGAGTTGCCACACCTTCACCCACCTTCGCGCCTTCCCAAATGCGAAGACCGTCCATGGCATTGGACCTTGATCTCTGAGAGTTTAGCACTTCTGAAAGAACACATTATTGCCACAGCACATGGATACAAATAGCTTTGATATGCTTTGATACACATACAACATGACCTATACAGTCTATCCTTCTCGCTTACAGTAAGTAGAACATCCCAATAAATGCAATTGTTTCTGTCGGCCCCAAACACACGTCCGGTGAGGGTGACAGAAAGTCCGGGCCACTCCGAGCCAGAACCTGGCGACGGCATCGACGCTTCAAAGAGGTGGAAGACGTACCATTGCGGAGTTGTTGGCATGTTGTTGGGTTGTTGATGCTCCACAAACTAAGAAACATAAATTGGCGACTAAACCAATCCCAACACTTCGGCGGGGGAGACATGGACACCGGCAGCAAGCACCTCGACAAGGGGTGGCGCGCTGAAAACACGCAGGGATCAGGTCCGGAACCGCTAAGTGCTGGGCAGAGCCGGCGATGTTCCAGTAGCCCATCTCGCCGAAGAACAGGTACAGTGGGCGTTCATCACCATCATGCTGGCGTTCACTGAACTTGCAAACACACAAAGGGGTTTGACTGGTTTTACATGGTGTTTTTGACTTGCACCCTGCATATGAGACCATTAAGGATGCATTCAAAGACTCTGCCGTTCTCTTTCAGGTTGCCACCTTTACACCCATTTGCCTCTGCCAAGCCGTTGCTGTTGGTGGTCAGAAGGGGTTTGCCTCTTCCTTACAGGACGAGGTTCCTCTGAGCTCCACAAGCCAACTGATCCAATTTACCCTCCGACTCACTCACATCGAAAAGAGGAGCACGCCTTTTGGATGAGTAGTTTCCTCTTCGAACAGTAACAAGAAGCTACTAGTAGCAAAGGGCATTTCTACTAGGAGCGATCGGACGCTATGAACGGGGCGCCCCTGGCCTTACTATATACTAGGAACAAGGACGCTACTAGTAACAAGAAGCTTAGAAACCAATAGAAACCACAGATGTAGGCTGCCCAACGGAGCCAGCAAGGCCGACCATGGGGCCGAACTCCCTGAGCCCACGTCGAGAGAGACTCTGCACCAAAATGCATCAGACTCAAACAACTTAGATCGGAAGAAACACAAACGATTCAACTCATGAAATGATGAGAATACCGGTGAGATGGATTGACTTCCATATATTTCCATGGTCGTGGATACTATGACATCATATTATGATTTCTGTCGTGCACAATCTGATCAATGCCTCCACAAGCTCGTAGTCGCCATTGATCTGTTGTCCTGGGCCTTCTCTACCACCGAGGGAAAGAAGCCTGTTTGCATGAACCCCGTGTGCGCGGCACATGGCACATGGCACATGACATGATATCTGCTGATGGGTCTGAGATGTGTGAAAAGTCAAGCAGTTTGGCAACTGAACGAATATAACAATACAACAATGACTTAGAAAATCCAGAACCAGGGATCAGGCAGTAGCTAAGCTTCTAGCTAAGCTTTGAGTAGCTTCTTCGTGAACATGAAGAGCAGGCATACAAACAAACGGGATCACTATACTAGTCAACATGTATAGTGTACACCAATATTAAGACATACCAGTCTTAACCATGTGAAATCACTTTGAACCAATGGCAAGGAATTAACACATGCTGATATGTGATATTGTTTTGTGACTGAATGATTGTACACGGGCATGCAAACAAAATCACAACCTGTTACAACATGTTCCAACGTGTGCGCAATCATACTCATGCATGTAGAGTTGTGTTACTGTGTCACAACCTGCCAGTCTCTATCGTTCGCGTTAAACGCACATCACGACATGTCACAACCCATTTGTAGTTCGGCCATTACAGCAATCACCAGGAACACGATGCAAGCAATCTGTCACAAGTTCAGTCTGTGTCAACAAGCCCCTGCCTTGGGCACGGCTCCTCAACTTCCTTCAGAGATTGCCTCAGCCTTGGCCATTCCCCTTTCCACCACACGAAGATTTGACTCTCCAAAAACCTGCTTGTCCCGTTTTCGTTTCGCCGGGCCTCCAGGATTTGGACCTGAGCATTTTGCTTTAGAGGTGACGAAGAAGCCCAGCTTCGTTCTGCGGGAGAAAGCAGTCTCGCGTCGACCTCACCTGGGGTGGAGATTCTCTCCAAGGTTGATGTTCCTCAGCATTCCACAGAGTCCGGGCTTGTCTAGTGAAGACCTCTGGAAGCCAAATCATCCCGGTCCAGAAGTTCAGTGTTGTCTCACCAAAAGCCTGAATCTCAGTGATAATGTTCTGACATCAAACAGCACATCATAGAACTCTATAGTAGCCGCAAGTATAACATAGTACAAAATGGTTCCTAGAAGTTTGGGACTAACCCCAACCACCATTTCCGCAGGACTGAGATTGCCAACTCCATGTCATAGCACTCGCTCACAGCGGCATGTTGGGACGAGGATTGTCTTGAAGGCATGTGGTTTTGGCATTTTCAGTGTAGGAACCCGCTCGACCTGGCGCACTCTTTCTGTTTGGCACACGACTTCTGGCACGCAGGGCAAACGCCTGCCCTGTGGTGATAGATGTGATGTGCGTCGCCATCTGTTGTTTTTCGTCGCTGAAGCAGAGTTTATGTTTTCCCTTGCCCTTCACTTTTTCGCTGCAAAAATGGCTCCTCTGGATGATGGATCATGACCGCCGCGAGGTCTTCTGCCAGTGAACACCCGGAGCTGCATGGTGTTTAGTATCTGTGTTGAGCCTGGACCCCCCGGACAGCAAAGCCTTTTTGACTGGACTGCGTTTCTGGTGCAAACAGCCTGCACCATGTGAAGGCATGAACCAGCAAGCTTGTGAAACTTTCGATCAAACTGAACCCGCACCTTGAAAGTTTCATCTACACAGCCACATGCCAAGGTCATGACATTCATGTCATCTCGGGCGAATTACAGGAAGCAAACTCAGCTGCTGTGAGGCTACTCCCTGATCTATTTTCTGTCTTTTGACACGTCCGGAGTTGGATGTAGAGTTGACACATCTGGAGTTGGAATGCAGAATGACTCTGCCAATAGGCTGTCACGTGCTGATAGGACCACCCAACATCTGAATCAGGAAAATGACACGACGCACTTGTCGTCATGTCTCAGCACCTCAGCCATCAAGATGGAACAACATCGACGAACAAATATGAGCAAATCAACGAAAAAAAGACCTCAGCCCAAAGCTTGCAGCTACTCTTCCCTTTCTTGTCTTTCTTCAACTGCATGCCAGCATTGGGCTGGACCTTGGCCATTCTAACCGACGAAGAAACACGTGCGAACGTGTGTCAGCAGAGCAAGTGGAGTTGAAAGCGACTGGGCTGCAAGGCATCTGAATATCTTTGTTTCACGACATCATCGGCAATGGACAGAAATGCCTCGAGTTTTGCTCAAAAAATCCTCTCGGGCAACAAGACAGCAACAGGAACGCTTCTTAGGTAGGAATGCAGAAATTCTGAGGTGGGAAGCAAAGCTTGCCGCAGGCGCATTCGACCGCACATGAAGTAACAAAACGAACTGGTGACTAGTGTTGTTTAAGTTATTATAGCACTCTGAGAGTGAACAAGACTTGTCTTTCGGCAGTTCAACCTAAATGGTTGTCCAGATCGAACAAATTAATTGAACATCAGTATGTCAGGCCTCGTCGACATCCTGTCCACTCTTGGCTGAGGTCTGCGCAGGCGACACTTGAGACCACTCTAGGGTTGCTGGGTAGCTGCATAATCTCAATGTGTATGTCTCCATGGTGCCGATACCCTTCGGAAGAGTATAAATAGTTACAGTAGCATCTTTCTGATGGGCACTGAGCTTGCAGGAACTTGGGCCTCAAAGAACTTCATGTTGTACTGCGCGGCCAACTGCTGCCCTTCCTCTTTTGAAACCTTAGCCATCGCGCCGCGGCTGTGCTGATCTCAAGTTGACTTCTCTACTTGGGCTTTGGACCTTCCGGTTTTCTTCCAAGTCGGCCTTGTTCCCCACCAACACCCTGGCGCGAAGCTGAGCTAAGCTCACCTGCTGGTCACTTGTTGAGAGACAAACATTTGTTGTCATTTCTGAGTGATCATCCAACTCTACTGTTCCCCAAAAAAGGACGTGGACGTAAACGGAGGATTCCAACGAACCAGCCGATGTCTCACCCCTCACCTCTGCACACCCTCGTCGCCGTGCTGCTCCAGCTGTTGTAGCCAATAATCGATGTGTTCAAAGGATGCCTGGGTGGAAGAGCTGTGAATGACATGTTTTTTTCAACGAACTAAACCGATCGGAGAAACCGATCGGAGAATTCATCGTTGGAGAGTTCATCCCCACATCGTCCTTCCGGCCTTGTCAGTGATGTCGTAGCAAATCACCACTCCCATGGCCTGAGAGGCTCCAGCGAATCACCGCCGCTTTGACCATCTGGTCTCAGCTCAAGGGTCTCAGGTTCGAGTACCCACAAACAAGCCAGCGCTGCGGCTCTGTAGTAGGCTGGAGTAATGGTGCCTCGTTCTTTCTGTGCGCTGACACTTTGAATAACTCGCTAAAAAATGCTTCTCGACGTGCTGACTTTGGAATGCCTTCCTGTCACCACTTCTAACACGAACTTCAGACTCTAAATTACATATACTTATATACCTTACCTGCAGAGATTGAACATGCAAGGGAGTCGAAAGAATTATAAGCCCTGGACGGAATCGCTCCTGTCCAGCAGTGTCCCAAACCTATCAAAAGCTGACCGTTCGAAACACCATTTCATGTCGATAAGTAATGCTTGAGGATGGCCCTGAGGCCCAGGACCTGAATTTTGAGCTTTCGCTGCTGCCGTTCCACCTGCTTCCACTTGAAGTCGACACCTGACAGGTCTATTTGGAGCCAAAATGAGCCACGCCAATCTTCTCTTCCATCGACCGACCCCTCTTGGTCCAAACCTATTGTAAGCACAAAGTTCGCGTCAAACTTGCTTTCACAGAAGCGCATCAGCAAAGATGACCTGCCAGAGATGAATAAACAAACGATGAATATCGATGAATGCTGTCAGAGATCTTGCTGATAAAGGCCACTGGTTGACTCATTCACTCGACCACATTTCTGGAGGATCGCTTCGGCTCGCTTCGGCCTTCACCGATCTCACTGAGTCTGGCACTTGCCAACAGCAGAGTCACCAAGCAGTAGCAACTTGACAAGGTGGTCCTGCCACAGTCGAACGACATCGCTTGAGGACCAAACGGTCGAAAGAGGTGCTGCTTCTTCCAGGTCGAGTCCGAAGAAGTTTCAAGGCTACTTCTTCCACACTTTCGAACGGCCACGTGCTCTTGTGTTTTGTCAAAAGGACTGAATGTCCCCTCATCTACCCTGAAGAAGCATATTTCGGGACCGGAAATAAACACATCCCGCGTCGGTCGTTGGCTTCGCTTGTCTTGCTGATCTTCAAGTTACATCCAACAAAGTCCGACGACGCAAAATGGTTTAGTCAATGTCTGTGATGCGACACATGTACTGTATCACACTGTATCACAGTGTTGTTTCTTGACATCGTAGGAAAAACTATTCCAAGATTGTGAAGATTTGTGAAGTGCAGTGTAGCGTGTAGATGTGTACATGGTGTCAAGTCCGCCTGCAACACTGTTGCATGTGTATGTATACAGTATATTATACCAAAAAACTGTACGTATATGATGACTGAAGGCATTATTTTAAATTGTGTTTACTAACAAAGTTGCTCGATCGCTCCCCACTGCGAGCTGCTCTGTCACAGTATGCAGTAGCTAACGACTCCACGGCTTGGGTTCCACACATAATCATTGGTTGTAGCCATTCTTGAACAGCCTCCGGGGGAGTGGAGCGAGTACTCCTCTCAAAAAGAAACCAATGGACCACTGGACTGTGAGGTGGAGACCTTTGGAGCGAAAGCAAACCAGCGAAAGTGAGCCAGTTTCACATCAAAATACATCAAACATCCTGGAAGGTCTTCTTGTCGGGGAAGCTGTGAGAAGGCGGGGAAACAGGGGGCAAAGTCCAGAGGGGAAAGCGGCCGCCTGGGCCGTAAGGAGAGGTGCGAAGCCCTCGGTCGCACGGGTGCGAACAAGAGTCGGTCTATAGGCGTTTAGACCTTTTTTGAAGCTTGACCTGGACACCTTGGGCGTGCACAAAACTCAGAATGATATATGCACCGCGCGACCATAATTGCTTACACTTATTCAATATCACTCATGTTTCATCATATTTCTGCATCCATGGTTTTCAACATGGAACGCATCCAGGTACGCGGCCAAATCTGCAAAGGCCCCACAAACTAGCCCTCCCAGGCAATCTGTCCCACACTCTGGCAGCAAACAGATTGAGCCAGAATAC